TCTCTGGATTTGCGCACATAACTGGAATCATACAATATGTATGCTTTCGTGTCTGACTCCTTTCACTGAGTATAGTGTTCTCAGGGTTCATCTGTGTTGCAGCACGTGTCAGCACTTGATTGCTTTTCATGATTGAATAGTATTCCATTGTATGGATGGGCCACATTTTGCTTATCCACTTATCAGTTGACAGACGTTTGGGTATTTCAACTTTCTGGCTACTTTGAATGATGCTGGTATGAATATTCATGTACACATTTTTGTGTGGTCATGTGTTTTTACCTATGAGTGGAATTGCTGGGTCATAGGGTAATATGTTTGAGAAACCACCAGACAATTTTCCAAAGCCACTACACCGTGTTACAATCCCACAGCAGCATATAAGGTTCCAGTTTTTCCACATTCTCCCTAACACTTCTTACTATCTTTTTTTTTTTTTTGAGACCGGCCACACCACGCTCAGCCAGTGAGCGCTGAGAGCGCACCGGTCATCCCTTTATAGGATCTGAACCCGCGGCAGGAGCGCTGCTGTGCTCCCAGCACCGCACTCTCCCGAGTGCACCACGGGCTCGGCCCCTTACTATCTTTTTAATGGGTATGAAGTGGTACCTCACTGTGGTTTTGATTTGCATTTCCCTGAATGTTAATAATGTTGAGAATCTTTTCATGTGCTCATTGGTGGCCATTGGTATATCTTCTTTAGAGAAATGTCTGTTCAAATCCTTTGCCCATTTTAAAATATGGTTGTCTTTTTATAACCGAGTTGTAGTAATTTTTTATACATTCTGGATACAAGTCTCTTGTCAGACACATGATTTGCAAATATTTTTTCCCTTTCAGTAGGTTGTCTTTCACTTTCTTGATTGTGTCCTTGGGAGCACAAATATTTTTAATTTTGATGAAGTCCAGTTTATTTGTCTCTTTTGTTCTTTCTCTTTGGTGTCATATATAAGAAACCATTGCCTAAGGTCACAAAGATTTACCCCATGTTTTCTTCTGAGTTTTATAGTTTTAGCTCTTACATTTAGGTCTATGATTCATTTTTTTTTTTTTGTCCTTTTTGAGACCGGCCGCACCGCACTCAGCCAGTGAGCGCCGTGAGCACACCGGTCATCCCTATATAGGATCCGAACCCATGGTGGGAGCGCTGCTGCACTCCCAGCACCACACTCTCCCGAGTGTGCCACAGGCTCGGCCCTCTATGATTCATTTTAAGTTCATTTTTTTATGTGGTGTGAGGTAGGGGATTTTCTTTTTCTTTTGCATGTGTGTAATCCAGTTGTCCCAGCACCAGTTATTGAAAAACTATTCTTTTCCCATTGACTTGTCTTGGCACCCTTGTTGAAAATCAATTGACTACAAATGTGAGGGTTTATTTCTGGACTGTCAATTCTATTCCATTGGTCTGTACGTCTGTCCATATGCCAGTACCACACTGTTTTGATTACCGCAGCTTTGTAGTAAGTTTTGAAATTGGGAAGTGTGAGTCCTCCAACTTCACTCTTCTTTTTTCACTATTGTTTTGGCTATTTTATGTCTTTTGCATTTCCGTATGAATTTTAGGATCAGCTTGTCATTTTCTGCAAAGAAGGGAGCTGGGATTCTGATAGGGATTGTGTTGAATCTGTAGATCAGTTTGGGGTCTACAGTCATGCATCACTTAACTACAAGGATATGTTCCGAGACATGTGCCATTAGGTGATTTTGTAGTGTGAAAGTGTATTATAAAAGGGAACAGCAATGAATTTTCCTGTTATCTTCACTGGCCGTAGCTGTGTGAGCCTGGGCCCTGTAATTATGTTACTAAGTCTCTCTGTGCTTCACTTTCCTCATTTGTTAAATGGGGTTAGAATAATATCATCCCCACAAAGTTATGAAAGTTAAAATACAAGCAGAGATTGTGTCTGGCACTCAGCATCACTCAGTAAGTGTTAGCTAACTGTTATTAACTATTATTTTGATATGGCAATGGGTAGGAATCATTAAAACATGCAAGAACTCTAAAGTAGACAACAGCCCTTTCCTTCGGTGTCAGACCTGATGCGTCAAGTGGTTGGCTTTCTGTCTTGCAGGTCTGAGCTACCTTTGGGAGGGTTACTCAGTGCGTGAGCGAGGCACTCCTCCTCAGCAAATTCGCAGTAGGTTTTACACCAGCATCAGCACAAACACAAGTAATGTGTTGCCCTACAATGTTACAAGGGCTGCAGTGTCACTAGGCAGTAGGAATTTTTCAGCTCCACTTTAATCTTTTTCAGGGGGTACAGCTGTCTGGTGCTGGGATCCAGACCCATGACCTTAGTGTTTTAAGGCCATGCTCTAACCAACTGAGCTAGTTGGCCATCCTCCATTTTAATCTTTTGGGTCCACCTTTGTATTTGTGGTCCAGAGTTAACCAAAATATCATTATGCAGTGCATAACAGTATTGCCATCTTAGCAATACTGTGTTTTGATCCATGAGCATAAGATGTTTTTCCATTTATCTAGGTCTTATTTAATTTCTTTCATCGTTGTTTTGTGGTTTTCAGAATATAAGTTTTGTACTTTTGTTAAATTTATCCCAAAGTAATTTATTTTTTCGATGCTATCATAATTGGAATTATTTTCTTAATTTCATTTTCAGTTTGCTCATTGCTACTGTACAAAAATACAGTTGTTTTTGCATGTTGACCTTGTATTCTATAACCTTGCTGAACTTACTAGTTCTAGTAGTTATTAGTGGATTCCTGAAGATTTTCTCTATGTCATCTAATGAACATATTTTTATTTCTTCTTTTCTGATCTGATTGCCTTTTATTTCCTTTTCTTGTCGAATTGCCTGCCCCATGGTTTTTTGAGTCCTTTTTTTTCTCTTTCCTAATTTACCCATATTTTTGTCATTGTCTTATTAATATATAAGTGCTATTTATCTAGAAAAGATACTAATCCTCTTTTGCATTCATGTTGCAAATATCTACCCCCGTTTCTTGTTCTGCTATTAAATTAGGAATCTTAAACCCGGGGTTCGGTGCTGGCTCCCCCCATCTATCAGTGGGCTTTGGGGTAGGTCCGCCTACCTCTCTGGGCCTTGGTTTCCACATCTGTAATAATAATGACCAGATTGGGGCAGCTCAGGAGTTTGGTCTGGTCATGTCAGTGAGCAGTGGATAGCAGGACATCCACTCCTGGCACCCAGGGGATGGTCCTGGCTGGAAGCATAATGCACAGAAGACAGGGAAGGTCAGTAGCAGTTGTCGTGGGATAATGGCATCCATCTGCCTCTGCCTGCCTGGGCCTCCCTGTCATCGGCCCCATCTCCAGGTCTCTGTCCCCGTCTGTGCGGAGGGAGGCAGGCACGGAGATGCTCAGGCACTCTTTATCACAGGCTGTCTCCTGGTCACACTTGCCGCATGCAGCATAACCTGCTGTCTCTGTTGATGCACTAGCGGTACACAGTCAATGCTCAAAAGTCAGGAAATACCAGAAAAGCAGGAGGAAGAGCTCCAGGAGCCGTGCTGGAGAACGTCCTTAGCCGTTTCACTGAGTTTTCTCCAACACTGGAGACAGCTCAAATGCTGGTCAAGGAACAGAAGAACAAACAAGGTCCATCTGTACAAAGAGCACTTCATGCACTGGTACCTGCAGTGTGGTGACTCTCAGGTGCATCGTGCCGAGCGAGAGAAGCCAAACACAAAAGGACACACAGTGTGTGTGCAGGAGGAAGTGACACAGGAGCCTCCCTGTCTGGCTCTGAATCTCTGTCCTGCAACATATGAGAAGTGTGACCTCAGGAAGTGACTTCACGCACACACAGTTTGCTCATCTGTCAAATGGGGGTAATGATAGTTCTGCCCTGGGGAGGCTGCTGTGCCGAGCCCTGAGTTAGCACATGCAAAGCACGTACGACATGTCCGGTGCACAGTAAGTCCCTTATAGCTGCCAGCTGTCGTCATTGTTACTATTTTATAAAAATTCTTGTGATGGCCACTGCATCCAGAGCATCTCTCTGTGTCCTGATTTAAGGACAGCATCATTGTAATTATTTTACAGCATTTCGTTGTCTGGATGTGCCTTGATTAGTAAATCAGTCCCTACTGCGGAGGGGTGGGCTGTGTCCAGCTTTTGGCTGTCCTGCATGGCTCTGCGGTGAACGTCGTGGGATAGCAGGTCTTGGCAGCAGAGCCTTGTGTCCTTCGGCTAAATTCTCTGAAGCATGTAGAGCATAAGGCTCCCTACTGCGGAGGGGTGGGCTGTGTCCAGCTTTTGGCTGTCCTGCATGGCTCTGCGGTGAACGTCGCGGAATAGCTGTCTTGGCAGCAGAGCCTTGTGTCCTTCGGCTAAATTCTCTGAAGCATGTAGAGCATAAGGCCCTTAATACCTTTACAAACCGCACCGGGAAAGATGTGCATCTACACTCTGATCTCGGTAAACTTACTTCCCAGCTCTTTTTTTTTCTTCCCAGCTCTTTTTGACTTGCTCGTTATCTTTCTTTCTTTTAATCTTTGCCATGTTGATGAGGGAAAGATTAGCTCTAATTCGAATTTGAGGTTTTTTGGTTACTACGTGGGTAAGCATTTTTTCATGTCTGTTGGCCATTCATCTCTCTTTCATGAATTGCTCATTTACCCATTCGTCCATTTAAAAAACTTTTTTTGGATGCTCAGCTTTTATTGATGTGCAAGATCTTTTTTATAAATTAAGGGTATTAAAGTTTTGTCCTATATTTTCCAAATATCCTTTCCTAATTTTTTTCATCAGGGTTTGTTTTTGTTTTTCAATTATCAGGGAGTAATTTTTTTCTCCCTAATAAAAGTGCTTTTTACTTTTCAGATGCAGTCACATCTGTTAATCTCTCTGCCTCTTTTTCCTCTTGATTTCTGCCTTGGGGCTGTGCTTAGACGGCAATTGCGTATTTGCTTTTATAGTCTCCCAACACTGGTTTCTTTTTCTAACACCATAATCCTCAGACCATCTAGATTGTACTTCATGTAGGGACCCAGCTCTGCTTTGTCCCAGCGTCAGGATGTCCCAATGTGACCCAAGGTGTCCCATGGCCTTCAGAGGGTCCCCTGCCTGCTCCTTCATGGGCAGCGGCACCCATGCCTCACTCATGCTTCTCTCTCTCCCTAGGCACGTGCGTCCAGCTGCAGCCGCCCCTGCAGGGCACCTTCCAAGTCCTCCGTGGCAATGGCTCTTCTGTGGGGACTGTGCTTGTGTTCCACTGCCCCTCTGGCCACCAGATGGTGGGGTCCGGTCTCCTCACCTGCGCCTGGAAGGGGAATGTCGCCGAGTGGTCTTCAGGGACCCCCGTGTGCAAGTGTAAGGCCCCCTTTGTCCTGAGCTGCCCCAGCTCTGCAGCTGCAGAGGTGGAAGATTGGCCCAAAATCCCATCATGTGGGTGGCGTGGGTGTCCACTCACAGGCTGGACCAGTGTTTAGGGTCCTGCTCCCAATGCGTGACATTGGCCATTGGCCCCTCGGAACTCCACATCTGCAGTGTTGGCTCATGTCCTTAGCAGTGGGCTTCTAATCCTGGCTCTGCCACTGCTCCAGCCCCTCAGTGCCGAAAGGTTATCTGTGCTGTCTGAGCTGGTGCTTTGTGATCTAAGTGGGAATCTATTAACTTCCTTCCATCCTTCCTTTCTTGTGGTAAACTTCAATAGGGTATTTTGTGTGCCAAGAATTCTAGGTAATAGGGACAGAGTGCCACGATGTGCTTGGCCCCAGAGCTCCCAGTCTGGGGGAGGAGACGGTTTTCTAGTTTTCTGGTTGTGTTTGTTGTAAGGGTGTTGAAGGGCCGATGAGATAGTCCCTGTTGAGTGCCCGGCACGGCATTTTCCGAAGTGAAGCCATGTGTAGTATGTTAATGGGTTTTGTGCATAAAAAGGACTGCAGAGTCAACATAGTTTGGCAAATGCTGGGTTTATGTGCTGCAGGACTTCTCAGAGCCTTTAAGATGACCATGTGCTGGGTAAATCACTGAGAATGAAGTTTCTATTAGGTTTAGGTTCCAAGAGGCTGAAAACCCAAAATAAAGGGTTAACCAAAATGGAGCTTTAATCCCCCAGACGGGTAGCCAGGCTCACGTGGTGCTCCATGGCCATGGGACCCAGGCCCCTTCCCTGTCTTGGCTCTGTTGGTTGTGGCCTCAATGTCATGATCCAAAGTGGCAGCAGCTGTGTTCCAGGCAGTTATGGGACGAGGGGGGCCCTAGGGCCAAAGGGCACGTCCCAGTGTCTCAGGAGCATTCTTATGTCATGATCCAAAGTGGCAGCAGCTGTGTTCCAGGCAGTTATTATGGGACGAGGGGGGCCCTAGGGCCAAAGGGCACGTCCCAGTGTCTCAGGAGCATTCTTAAAAGTTGTCCCACTTCCTTTCCCCATATCCGCCATTGGCCAGAACATGGCCATGTGACCACTGGACAGTGTCCTGGTCCTGATGACCAGCATCCAGCCAGGAACTGGGGGAAATGGGGTTGGGGGACGTGCTGTGTGGGGAGAGTACAGGGTGTTTCTCAAATTAGGATCCCAGGGCCTTTTTTTCCCAGAACATCCCTTGGAATCTGATGTAGGTAGCTCTTATCACATAGCTGAGGTCCCATGGCTGATATGTGACAAGTCAGGCATTTTCCTTGCTTTTGCTCCTTCCTGGAAAGTGACCTGAGAAGGCATATACGGCCCTGAAGGGTTTTGCCAGCTTGAGGCATTGTGACAACTCAGACCATGGCCTGGGCAAGTCCTCATCAACACCGTGTCTACTGTCATGTGCTCTGTGTGGCCTACCCTTCCTCCACTCCTCAGTCCTGGGTCCAGTGGGTGGGAGCCAGGGAGGCCATCATTGTGAACTCCCTGTCAGAGCTTCTCCAGTTTGCCTATTTGCCTCTCTGCAAACTCCTACACTGCCTGCAAAACCCCGCCCAAATGCCTGCTGCTTGGGGACGTGTCTTCTTTGATAGCCCGTTTGCCTCTCTGCAAACTCCTCCACTGCCTGCAAAACCCCGCCCAAATGCCTGCTGCTTGGGGACGTGTCTTCTTTGATAGCCCCACCCCTAAAAACAGTTTGCACAGACCTTGCCTCAGCCACCAGTGCCTCACTGCCTCCCCCAGATAACGGAGGGTTTATGGAGGGCCCTGTCCACTCCTGGGCCCCAGCCCCCACCCACCCCCAGGCCTGGCAGGTCGGGACAAGCCAACCCAGGAGCTGGTGGCTGTCTCCCCCACAGCTGTGCCACCACACGAGACCTTCGGCTTCAAGGTGGCAGTGATCGCCTCCATTGTGAGCTGTGCCGTCATCCTGCTCATGTCTGTGGCCTTCCTCACCTGCTGCCTCCTCAAGTGCGTGAAGAGGAGTGAGCAGCGGCACTCCGACAGGGACAGGTACAGTGGCTGCATGGTCTCAGGGTCCTCCCGTGGCCTGGAATCCTGACCACCCCGCACCTGCCAGAGCTGCTCTGGCTCGTGTCTGAGGGTCCCTGGGCTGCCCTGGCTAATAAGGGAATCATCATACCAAGTACCGCCTGGCCCACAAGGCGGCCCTGTGGAGCCTTGCAGCTGCGGGTGCCGTGGGGCACAAGGGCTCCCTTGGTCCTGCCCGTGTGGTCTTTCTCAGGCTGGCCCTTGGGCACACGGATTTTCTATTAAACCTGAGTACACATGAAATGTATCCCGTGTCAGTGGCCTTCAGAGCTGCCGTGGATGTCCTCAGACCTGAAGGGGTGACACTCGCCATAGACCGAGCGCTGGTTCACTACAGCCCACAGGCCAAGTCTGCCTGCCACTGGGTCCATTCCCCGCAGTAATCTATTCTTTTGTTGTTGTTTGTATTTTTTTATTGTGGCAAAATACACATAACATAAAATTTACCATCTTAGCCATCTTTAAGTGTACAGTCCAGTGACATAAATTGCATTGACAGTGTGTGTGCAACTGTCAGTACCACCCATCACTAGAACTTTCCACCGCCTGTTTTTGTACGTAAACTGTGCTCAACGTCTGCTGTTGCCAGGCTGCCTTCCAGCCACCACGGCAGAGTTGAGTTGCGGGAGGAGCTCTCTGGCCTGCAGCACCTGAAGTGTCCACTGTCCGGCTCTCCAGAGGTTTGTTGCTCGGCCCAGCACCTGCAGACAGTGCCCTGGGCTTGGTGGAGCATGCATGCTGCCCTGTGCCACCAATGGGGACATGTGCACACTCAGTGTCTTTTATCTGCACTCTCTCCTCCAGGACAGCCCAGCTGTGGTACCAGCTGAGAGGCGAGGACTTGGAGACGGTGCAGGCTGCCTACCTGGGCCTCAAGGGCCTCAACACCAACAACAGCAGCAGCAGCAGCCCCGGGAGCCGGCCCAGCCAGGCGCACGACAACCACGCCTTCACCACGTGGGCAGGATTGGGGCTGGGGGCGGGGTGCAGCTTGCTCAGGACCTGGGGCACCTGCTGCCCCCACACTCATGGGGCCTCAACTTGGGAGGCCCCTAAAACAAGAGGCTGGTGGTCCTTCTAGCACTGTCCTGCCCCCTCCTACCCCCACTGTTTTTATCTGGAAAATTCAAAGCTACAGGGAAGCTGAAGGTTCCAAACACCCGTGTCTGCCACGGCTACCTCTATCCCTCCTCCCTTTCTCTCTCTCTCTCTCTCTCTCTCAGGGCACGCACATATTGTATTTTTCCTGAACCGGCACAGGACGTTGTTTTTCTGACTCCAGAAATCTGGTCCTGCCCGCATGAGGCCTGTAGAGTAGAGAGCACCTCCCAGTGTTGTCATCACCAGCTGCACCCACCCTGTGGTCCAGGGTCATGTGCAGCACTCGGCCACCAGGGCTCTGGGCTCCTTAGCTGGGACAAGCTTGCTGTCCTTTGTAGCATGGCCTTCTGAGGGCTGTGGGCCAGGAGACCCCCATCTAGATCTGTCTGGTGTTTCCACATAACCATGCCAGGTTGTGCATGTCTGGTGTGGGGACCGCGGGTGTAGATCATAGACTTGAGCCACACTGCCCCTGTGGGCAATGCCAACTGGGGTCTCTTGGCTGAGGCGAGTCCCCCAGATCCCTCCACTGTCAGGGCATGAAAAAGGGGTTCTGCCAGGGTCCTTCTGCTGCCCCAGTGACCTCTGACCCATGGCCTCAGCATCCAGGGTTGATCCTGCTGGATGTGCTATTGCCTGGGGGTTACAGAACGGTAACCTCGTTAACTCTGTTGCAATTTGACAAGGAATGAGGATGAGCTCTTTGTTTTTTTCTTTCCATTTTTTTTTTTGTCTTTTGCCTTTTTCCGTGTCCAGCAACGGATCGCAACCCTCAGTGTTGCCCCCGTACCGGACCGGGGACCGGCAACGGGATTGCAACCCTCGGCGTTGCTCCCGCGCCTCGCTCAGCCAGTGAGCGGGAACTGGTCTGTATGTGGAATCCGAACCCTCGGACGGGAGCGCCACCGTGCTTCCCAAGCGGCGCACTATTCAGTGCGCCACCGGGCCGGCCCCGTTTTGTTTTGTTGTTTTAGTATCACTAGGGACTTATGAATATTCTTTTCTACCGTGCTTCCCAAGCGGCGCACTATCCAGTGTGCCACTGGGCCGGCCCCGTTTTGTTTTGTTGTTTTAGTATCACTAGGGACTTATGAATATTCTTTTCTAAAACTTTTATTTTGGGAAAATTCCACAAATACACAAAAGTAGAACAGCGTTACAGACCTCCCGTCCCACCTCCCGTCTTCAGCAGTTACCAGCTTGACCAGGCTCTGTCATCTGTGCCCCTGCCCCGCATGATTTCCAAGCACGCTTTCTGTGGGCTGCAGTTATTCTTTTGCAGCGGGTGCCCTGCCAGGCTGTGCTGATACATCCGTGTCGTTCTTTGAGCACTTCCTGCCTTGCACAAGACGTTCCCAGCCCATTTTGTGCATCCCTGCATGGCCCTGGAGTCGGCCACCGCCCGAGAGCTCAGTTCCTCTGGGAGAACAGCGCCAGACTCTGGGGTTGGGTGCCAAGGTGACATCACTGAGGTGGAGGCTTCTGTCCATGCAAACAGAGCCTTCCAAGGCAGCAAAGCGCTTGCTCCCAGCCCTCACGGCTTCGTCATGGGGCTGTAACAGCTCCAAACTTCAGTTTCCTCACCTGTCACACGAGATCACAGTGATGCCCCCCTCCCCATGCTGTTGAGGTTACCTGAATTCAAGTGTGTGCCCCTGGCCCCAGCCCATGGTGATGGCTCACTGAATACTGACTGTTACTGTCATTATCGCTCCTGTCCTTGTGCAGATGAGGAAACTGAGGCACAGGAGGTGGTGACCTAGGTGATCCTGTGTTGCGCACGATATCTGCAGGGAAGGAATCCACTTTCCCATCTCCCTCAAGCTTCGGGAGCATGTAAAGTCATTGAGGCCGTGGCAGAAACGCTCTCCCACATAACGACATGTTCCTGTTTACCATGGTGGTCTCTCTGAATAGCTACCCGTTGTGCCAAATGCTCCAATATCCCTTGGACCCCGCTGCCCCCGCCGCCCCAACCTGCTGACAGGTCAGGTTGTGGTAAATGTCTTCGTACTTAGCACTCTTTTTCTTTTTCAAGACGACATCTCAGCAGTGATCCTAGGAACAAACTGTAGGCCAAATAGTCTGGATATTTTTATTACCAAATTCTTTCTCCAGGAGCTCCAGTGCAAGTTCCTTCAGCTATTTTTACGACTGCATCATCACTGAGTGCTAATGATTTCTTTTCTGCTGCTGGCTTAAGCAGGTGTAAGCTACACAGGTTGTTTTTCTTGGTATGTCTTTGATGAACGTTGAGGAGTGTTTTCTCCAAACCTTGGCTCACAGTGCATTGCTGGTATTACTCCTTTGTTTTCTCTGAAGGATTATCCACTATGTTTTTCTCAGGAATACCAGGGCTCTGTGTGTGTTATGGGAGGGAGCCTGACCTGCCAATTGGCTGCAAGTGTTTTTATCAGGTTCCTTTCCTTTTTATTTTAGCTTTGTTGAGGCTGTTCCGGCTAATGCATTTCCTTTATATAGTCAGATTTCCTAGGCTGGTTTCAGAGCTTCTCTGTGGTGCCACCCTGTGACATTCCCTCCCCATTACAGAAACTGTGACCAGATCATCCTCTGTCATAATTAGGAAAAGCGCCTAAGGATTGGGGGGAGGACTGCCACCTCCCAGAGTGACATGGTGTCCTGGTAAAGGGCAGCTGCTGTGGTTGCTGCTACTGCTGCAGGGGCTTCACTGGCTGGAGCCTGAGACTGAGGGGCTCCCAGGGGTGCTGCCTGGGGTCACACGTCTGCCATGTCCCTGCACAACAGGTATCTGCACCGGCTGTTAGAGCTCCAAGACACACACTGTGGATGGTCAGACGCACACGCTCCATCCACAGGTGGTACAGATCTGCAGAGGGAACTGTGTTTACCTCCCTGAGGGAGTTGGAGAGCCCTGGAGAGTTGGGGCCCTTGAGGGGGCTGGGGCAGGCTGGAAGAGGCCGGCTTGGGGGCCAGTCTGAGAGTCAGTTCAGCTCAAAAGGCAGGAAGTTGGAAGTGAGCCTGAGCGGGAGCTGGGGGGCAGTGCACTTGGGGCAGAGGCCTTCTTCCCCTGAGCTCTGCCACAGCAGGTTCCCAAGCGCTCAGCCCAGCTTGATGGGACTCAGAGAGGGCAGCTCCCACCCGGGCTGCACAGCACATGCAGTCAGAGTCCCCTGCTCTGGGCCTCTGGCTCCCAGACAGGGTCTTCTGGATGTGTCTGTCCTGGGGCCCAGGATGCCTGATTGGTAGTAACTTGGCTTTAGCAAGGCTGGGTCTGCCCCTTAACCTTGCTTTTTTTAAACATTTCCCAGCACTTGCAATGTGCCAGGCATGGTCCTAAACTCTTCTAAATACTAACTCCTGCCTGATTGGTAGTAACTTGGCTTTAGCAAGGCTGGGTCTGCCCCTTAACCTTGCTTTTTTAAAACATTTCCCAGCACTTGCAATGTGCCAGGCATGGTCCTAAACTCTTCTAAATACTAACTCTTAACCTGAAGGGATGGGTGCTGCTTTTATCTCCTTTTACTGGTAAAGAACCAGATAGGTTCAGAAACTGACCCAGAATCACACACAACTAGTAAGCGTGAAGCTGGGCTTAGACTCAGGCTCCAAGTCCACATACTTCCCACTAAGCTACCCTTTGCTTTCCATTCATTCATTCATTCATTCTTTCATTCACTTGTTCATTGAACCAACACATATTTCTTAATTCCTACTACTTCCTAGAGTTCTTCTGAGAATTAGGTGTGGGTGGGAGCAATGATCTGGGAAGGCTTCATGGAGAGGTGATGTGTGAAGTGAACAGACTGGGAGAGCCTGCATTGAGGGGAAGGAGAGAAACAGCACCTTAGGGGAGTGGGCAGCATGCAGAGGGCTGGAGGCCAGAGCAGCTGGGCAGCCTCCATGGAGAGAGGCCAGAGGTGAGGCGGGGCCTGGCTGACGGGGGTGGGGCCAGCATCTGATCAGACTGGAGAATGGGTTGGTTTGTGTTTTGGGGATTGGGGGAGCCAAAGGGTACTGAGATGTAGAAGGTGGGTGGTCCAACTCCAGGCCACCACAGAGGATAGGCTGGCAGGAAGGAAGGTGTCCTCCCCCTGGTGTTCCTGGTTCCCAGTATCCCTTCAATGCCTAGGACATCCCCAGGCCCTGGACAGGCAGCCACACACTCTGAATAAGCCCCAGAAAGCCCCTTCTCACCCCTTAGTAAGGTGAGCGTCCAGCCCCTGGGCCAACCCCTGGTTGTGTGTGTGAGGAAACAGGCCCCGTTAGTGACAGGGCCCAGGAGGAAGATGTAGTGGCCTCTGTGAGCCCCAAGGCCCAGGGCTACCCCTGGCAGGAAGACATGGGGCTCCGCAGCCCTCAGGGCAGTGGTCTGCCCCAGGTCCACTGAAGGCCTGGGGCCTGGGCAGCGGGGAAGGCGTGGAATTGGGGTTGAACCCTGGCTTCGCTCTTACCCTACTTGTGCCTCCTCTTCCCACAGAGACCATGGCGAGAACACTAGAGAGCTGGCCGGCGTGGACAAGGACCCCTGGACCCCTGGTCCTGGAGCTCTGGGCCCCAGTGGCCCCTCCAGCTCACCCCAGGCCAGGGTGATGGTGCACACAGTGAACCCAGGGCAGACCCTGCCTGCCTCAACTGGCCACAAAAAACCCAGACAGCCCAAGGCGTACATTCCTGGGTGGACTGAACAAACAAGGCCATTGCCCGGCCTCCACACTGGGAGGGCCACGCCGACCCTACCAGCTGGTCCTGTGCAACCTAACCTGTATCCAGCTCAAGATTGGTCGGTGAAATCAACTTCCAGGTGTAGGGAACCCTCCGGGGGCCGAGCTGCCAAAGGCTGGTGACCACAGCAGGGAGTGTTCTTTCTCGAAGGATCCTGGCCATAGCAATTTTATAGTTATGGCTTACTTGAAACTGCTGCTGAGGTTAATATACCAGCTGCAGGCTCCCTTTGACCAGGGTTCCTTTAAAGAGACTGGGAGATGTTTTAAGCAAGTCTAGTTTGGCATAGCAGGATAAGAAAATCACAATAAACTTCTTTGCAGCACCTACAGGTGGCTGCCTCAGCATCTTCTTGCGCAGGATGTGCTGCTTCCAAGCAGGACCCACTGAGGGGTCTGCGTTCATTGCAGGGTGCACCTGAGGGGTGTGAAATAAAACTAAATATTTCTAATCCTGAAAAATACAAAGGTAAAAAATAACTGTCCAAATTTTCAATCCCTATATAACAAAACCTCAAAGTAGTGGCATAAAACTACAGTAATTTATTGTCACCTCTAAATGCTCAGGGCTTGCCATAGCTCAGCTGGGCACTTCTTACTTGGAGTCTCCGGTGGTGGTTGCAGTCAGTCGGCCAGCACTGGGGTCATATTGAACACCGGGTCACTCCCAGATCTGGGTTTGCTGCTGGCTGTCAGCACAGACCTTGTGAGGTGTTGGCCAGAACACCCCCATGTGGCTGACTCGTTGGCCAGGGCTTCCTCACAACACGGCCACAGTTTCCAAGAAGAGAGTCACAGTGTGAGCAGCAGGTGGCCTTTCCAGTCCTGGACTCAGAAGTCACTCTGTGTCTATTCATTAGGGGTGAAGCCTGCCCTGCAGTCATGGGGAGGAGAGCTGGACTCCACTGTGGGACAAGTACTAAAGAATTGGCAGACACCCTTTAAAGCAATCACCTTTAACCCAGGAACTCGCCAAAGCAATTTTACAAAAGGTGGCCCCGTTTCTTAGCCTCCAGCCTCCCTCCCAGAGGGAGCGGGTTGTACAGCAGACCCCTGTGTGCACACACATGCCTGACTCAGACGCGGTTCGAGACTGCGCCCGCTGTCGCACCGCTCGTTGGCTTTCATTTAAGATGCGCTCTCAGTTCATTCTGTAGCTCCGGGCTCCGGGCCCCACGTTTGTCCTGGGCCGGTTAAAATATACCTGCAGGGCCGAGCCCGTGGCGCACTCGGGAGAGTGCGGCGCTGGGAGTGCTGCTGCAGCAGCGCTCTCACCGCGGGTTCAGATCCTGTATAGGGATGGCCAGTGCAATGTGCTCACTGCCTGAGCGCAGTGCGGCTGGTCACAAAAAGGACAAAAAAAAGGGCCGAGCCTGTGGCGCACTCGGTAGAGTGCGGCGCTGGGAGCGCAGTGGCGCTCCCGCCACGGGTTCGGATCCTATATAGGGATGGCCGGTGCGCTCACAGTGCTCACTGGCTGAGCGCAGTGCGGCCGGTCTCAAAAAGGACAAAAAAAAAAAAAAAATGTAAATCAGAGCAGATCACCATGCCCTTCTGCAAGTTCTGACCCTGATGGTGGGCTCCCAGCTGCCTGGCCTGCAGCAACCCTGCATGATTTGCCCCTCACCTCCCAACCTCACTTTGTTTTATTGGTCCCTGTGATCACTCCACTCCAGCCACACTGGCTGTCCCTCAAGCACAGAAGGGTCATTTCTGCTTCTTGTCTCCTGCATGTGCTGTTTCCTCTGAACACTCTTCCCAGCTATCATGTAGCTCCCTCACTTCAGCCTGCCTCTGCTCAAATGTCTAGCATGTTAGTTATATATTGCCACATAACTGATTGCTCCAAAACATAGTAGCTCAAAAACTACAATCATCATTTACTATCTTCCACAGTTTTGGTGGGTCTGGAATTTGGGCTCCATGGGGTAGTTCTGGTCAGGGTTTCTCCTGACACTGCAGCCAGAGGTCAACCATGACTGCGATTTCATCTGAAGTCTTGACTGGGGCTGAGAATCCACTTCCAAGGTGATTCACTCACAGCAAGTTGGTGCCAGCTGTTGGCTGGATGCCTCAGTTCCTCCTTACACATGGCTCTCCACAGAGCTGCTTGAGCATCCTCACAACATGGCAGCTGGCTATCCCAAGGCACAAGGCCACAATGCCTTCCATGATTCAGCCTCAGAAGTCACACACCATCACCTCTGCCACACTTCACTGGTCACATACCAGCCTGGTTCACGCAAGGGCTTGACTAGGATGTGAAGATCACTGGGGCCATCTTGGAGGCTGGTGACCTCACCAGGAATCCTCACCCCTTACTCAGCCTGACTGTCTGTCATAGCACTTATTAGAACCTACACACAGACATGTGCTATGGATTGATCAAATTGTGTCCCCCAAAGTCTATATATTAGAAGCTTAATTCCCACTGTCACTGGTGAGGTGGGAAATCCTATTATGGTAGTTGAAAGGTGGGGCCATGAAGAGGTGATTAGATTGTAGGACCATGCTGTAGTGAATGGATTAATAATGGTGGTCAGGGGCATGATTCTGAGGTCTTTAAAAGGAGAGCACATGAGAGTCTGTCTCTCTCTACTTTGCCATTCTCACCATGTAACACCTTGCATTGCTGTAGAGCCACCAAGAGATGTGTTCCCTGGACTGAAAGGTGGGTCCTTGAAGGGGTAATTAAGTTAATGGTTTAACGGTGGTCAGGGGCATGGTTCTGAAGGCTTTAAAAGGACAGCACGTGAGAGTTTCTCTCTTCCTACACTGCCATTTTCTGCCGTGTGAGGCCCCAGCATTGCTATAAAACCACCAAAGACAACCCTCACCGTCTGTGTTCCCTGGACTTTGGCTTCCCACCTCAGAAACTGTAAGCAATAAATTTCATTTTCTTATAAATTACTACTTCCAGGTGTTTTATTATAAGTAACAGAAAGGGACTAATACAACATCTGTCTGTGTCCTCCAGTAGTGGAGGAGCCCCATGGGTGCAGGGCTTCCTCTGCCTTCCCTGTGATCTGGCTCTGGGTTGGGCACACGTTTAGGGGACATTTGTTGAATGAATTACTGAGTGAATGGATGGACGAATGGTACCCCTGCTCATGTGAGGATGTGGGAGGAAAATATCGTTGCCTCTTCTCAGTGTTCAGGCCCCTCACTGCCCACCATTGCCCTTTACAGAATCAAGGTCAGCTCCAGCCATGCAGGCCTCCTGCACCCTAGCCTGGGAACACCCTGTGCTCAGCCTCAGCCACTCAGGGAGACTACCCGGGCCCCTGTCCTTGCCCTCCAGTCCCTCACCCCAGTTGTCAACATTAATTCATTTGCATTCATCAAGTGCCAACTGCATGCTGGCCCTTGTGGTGTGAATGCTGCCACAGAGACTGGGAAACCGTCATCAGGCAGTGACAGCACTCTGGAGAACAGAGACTTGGAGGGCACAGAGTAAGTGACATTGAGCAGAGCCTGAGAGGAGAGAGAAGGTGAGGTGGGGAGTTGGGAGAAGCGTTCCAGTAGGGGGCACAGCACACACAAAGGTGTGGGGATGGCAGAGGTGGCTGCTGGGGGAACAGGAAGGCTGTGAGGTGGGGAGAACGGTCAGACTCAGGGCGGGTTATGGCCCCTGTGGCTGCTGCGTGGGGATGGGGCAGGGGGCCAGTGAGGAGGTGGCTGCCACCCTCCAGGCAAGAGATGATGGGATGGGGGGCACAGAGGTGGGAGCAGGGCTGGATGTGGGATGTACTCGGAAGGGAGAGCCAACAGGTGGGGGCAGGGCAGGTGAGCAGAAGCCTCAGTAAGGAAGGGGCTGCCCCTGTGAAAATAAGAACCCACATGGGAATGAGCCTTCCCTATGTAACTTTAAAATGGTGTTTATTTTCTGATCTGCTAAAGCATGTCATGGTAATAAAATTCAAAAGATGCAAAAGACAGAGATGGAGACAGATGGGAGGTGTGGGGAGGGTGTCAGGGCCGGGATATCTGATGCTGACAAAGATCCTCTGCTTGACCAGACTTTACTCAGCTCCTCAATCTCCTCGTAGCCCATCTGTGCACTTCCTTGCATGGTCCAGTTTTAACAAGAACGCTGCTAAGCCAGCGTCGCAAGAACCCCCCACCCTCGATATCTGATCACTCTGTATCTGATCAGGTTCTTCCTCCTCCACCATCCCCAGGTGATGTCTGATCGCCCTGGCCTGCCTTCAGCAGGGATCCCGTTAGGACTGTTTAGCCAGAATCCTCCTGTATTCATTTGTTTCTGTTGCTTAAAATTGAATAACTGAAACTGGGTAATTTATAAAAAAATACAATTTATTTCTCACAGGTCAGAGGTTGGAAAGTCCACAGACTAAGGGGCACATCTGGTGAGGGCCTTTTTGGTGGGTAGTGACTCTCTACAGCGTTGCAGGGCATCACATGGTGAATGGCTTCAGCAAGAGAGAGCTAAGGGGCCGGCCCAGTGGCGCACTGGACAGTGCACCGCTTGGGAAGCGCGGCGGCGCTCCCGCCCGAGGGTTCGGATCCCACATACAGACTGGTTCCCGCTCACTGGCTGAGCGAGGCACGGGGGCAACACTGAGGGTTGCGATACCGTTGCCGGACACGAAAAAAGACAAAAAAAAAAAAAAAAAGAGAGAGAGAGAGAGCTAAGCATGTCATTCACTCATAAAGCCATCAGAACCACGCCCATTACTCCATGAGTGGATCAATCCATTCCAAGGGGACAGTCCTCATGATCTAATCACCTCGTAAAGGCTCCACCTTTCAATTATCATAATAGGATCTCCCATCTTCTTAACACTGTCACAGTGCAGTTTAAGTTTCTAATACATGAAACTTTGGGGGACACATTGAACCCATATAGCACCCCCTTATCTCTAATGTCAACTCTTAGTAATTTTCCATTCACTGACCCCCACCCTGCTCCTTGGCTATAAATTCCCACTTGTCCTTGCTGTATTCAGAGTTGAGCTCAGTTCTATACTGAGGTCTCTTTTCCCCTATCGCGATAGACCTGAATAAAATCTGTTTTTACCAGTGTAACTTACGTCCAGTTCTTTTTTCTTTTTCTTTTTCTTTTTTTTTTTTTTGATGATGTATGAGGTCAGGGCTTCCAGTCATTCTCCAGGGGTTGGGGACAACCACAGTTGGTACCCCTGAAATCTGCACAAGGTGATCCAGGCCCCTCCACTGTGTGAAACACACAGTACTCAAGGAGCCAATGAGGGTCCCCAGGCCCCTGGCCCTCCACATCCTAGGAGCTTACTTTCCATTCGGGTTCCATGCAGCTGCAGCAGGAGCTGCCCACAAGAGAGGATGCGTGTGCTGTTCCCTCCTCCCAA